CTCCCGCGCCCCGCCCCCCGCCACCAATCACCGCCCGAGGGGGCGGAGCCGAGGGGCGGAGCGGCCAATCCGCCAGAAGGGGCGGGGCCATGGCGGGAGCGCCGTTCACCCTGAAGCCTAACGATGGCCGCGTCGCCGCCTCGGTGCGGAGAGAACCGGCCGTGATTAACAGCGCCGTGCCCCCCCCCCTTGGAAGGGACCTTAAAGATCATCTTGTCCAACCGTCAACCTAACTGACAAAAATAGACACCCACACAACAAACAAGGAGCATCATCACTAAACCAGACCTCCCAGCACTACATCAACCCCTCTTTTGAACACCTCCAGGGATGGGGCCTCCACCACCTCCCTGGGCAGCCCATTCCAAGGGCTGAGAACCCTTTCCGTGAAAAAATTTTTCCTAATATCCAGCCTGAACCTCCCCTGGTGCAACTTGAGGCCATTTCCTCTTGTCCTGTCTCTTGGGACTTGGGAGAAGAGACCGACCCCCACCTCTCTACACCCTCCTTTCAGGGAGTTGTAGAGAGCAATAAGGTCTCCCCTCAGCCTCCTCTTCTCCAGGCTGAATAACCCCAGCTCTCTCAGCCTCTCCTCATAAGACTTATTCTCCAGACCCCTCCCCAGCTTTGTCGCCCATCTCAGGCCAAGGGATGCTTCCAGCTCACCCTCTGTCTCTCCGTGCCTCCAGAAAAACAGGCACTACCTTTGCTCTGGGCTGACTAGACCTGGGAGGAAATCCCTGTCCATTTATCGATGCTCTTTCCATTCGGAAGAGCTCAGCACAGGCCAGTGTGTCCACAGCGACCGGAGCTTCGAGCCCCCGATGCTCCCACCCTGTGCCTGCAGCCCCCAGGGAGCCCAGGGTACAGCCCGGTGACGGGGGTCACAGCCCTGGTGATGGGGGTCATGAGTTCACACAATTAAAACTCTCCCTCCACCCCATCTCAGGGCAGGGAAGCAAAAGCCAGGGTTTATTTATAGTCTTCCCCGAGTGGAAACCAGAAGAATTGACCCATTATCGCCAGACATTTTTCTAAGCCACCCAGGAAGAAAAGTGATATTTAGTTGTCGTTAAAGCCTCATAACTGCATAACAATTTCATGCTATGTTAACTTCTAGGTTTTCTTTCGCATATAAATTTTTAAGGAGTAAAATAGAAAAACCCAGGCACTTGACCTTTAATCACAGTTATTTGTGTGATCAGTCAAGTGTGGGGGAAAAGCTAGTTTGTGCTTGAAAGATGCCCTTTAAAACCAGATTGCTCTAATATGACACGCGACTCACAGGGTGTAATTTATGGGATCTTGCTTACCAGCCTCTGGGGCACAGCATCCTCCCAGTTAGTGTTCACGCACGGGATCCTGCTGCTGGTCTGTGTGAGGGTATTAATGTTGTGAAGTAAATCGATACAGACCCCTGGGACAGCTCGTTCACCACCTAAACCCACGGGAGGCGTACGCAGCCCTGTCGCCGAGATCCAAACAGGGAAAAGCATCTTCAATGTGTGTGGATGATTTGATGTTAGAGATACGTTTCATTAGGAGAAGGGTATGTCACGCTAATAGAGTACAAAGCTTCTCCATTTATCTGAAATATTATTCCAAGCACTTATGAGAGCTTAATATTAGAACAGCCAGAGGTATTTTAATTACGATTTCGAAGTATCACGTTGTTTTGGGGAAATGATCTCATGAATTTTACTTCAGCGAGACCGGATGACTAAAAGCCATTGCTGGGGCGAAGGAAACAGAGCAGCCTTTTAAATGGAGCCTATTGGATTTATTCATTATCGGGCAGAGCCGATGGGCAGGGATGGCCACGGCAGAGCTGAGGGCTCAGACCCAGGAGGGAATGAGTGGGGCACAGGGATGTGGTTCCCCATATGGCACCCAGGCTGTCTGTCTGTCCCAGCACCCGTGGCGTAACCAGGGGATGGTTTCTGCAAGCAAAGGAAGAGGGTTACACCTTCTCTGGTCACCTCTGTCACTCCCATCCAGCCCACGGGCAGCTCCCTGTATCCATCTCCCCACGGGATGAACCCAAGAAACAGGAGTGGGAAAGCAAAGACACCCGGTCACCCTGGCTCCAAAGTGCCCTGGGGCCAGAAAACGTGTGATTCTCCAAACTGAGCTATTACCTGCTGTAAGTGGAGGCAGAAAGATAGTTGTGAAACCACAGTGAAAATAACCCTCCTGGAAAAAGAAAAAAAAAAAAAAAATCAATACAAACACCAAGGAAAGAAGAGGATCAGAATCCGAGAGCATCAATTCCTGAGATAAAGAGTTGAAAGTCTCAGTGGGAGGACAGCCAGATCTGGACTGAAAAACAAAACTTTGTTTCTTTTGCTGACAAATGACTTCTTATGCTAAAGGACAAAGGAGCCAGGAGGCCACAGTAGGAGGCTGGAAGAGCTGCCCTTGAAGAAAGAAGGAGCAGGCGGGAACCTCAGGGAAGCCTTCGCACCTCTCCTTCCTCTTCCACACTTGAAAGGATTTTCTTACAATGGAAAAAACAGGGATTTGTGCAATTTTGTGCTGTTTGGGCCATGTCATAAAAACATGCTCCAGGAGGAGTTTTGCTGGTTGTGCTGTGCTGAGGACGGGCAGCAGCAACACAGCACCGACGTACCCGGCACGAAGGAAATCCCCCGGGACAGGGGCAGAGCTCTGAGGCTCGGGGCATCCGCAGTGAGTCCTATCACCCCTCTCCAGCCCCCTGCCCCCAGCTCATCCTGGGGCTCCAACACCATTTTCCGGGGGATCACACTCCATGGCAGCCGTTGCAGCACACTGCCCACTCACTGCCTGGTCCCCACACCACCTCCTCACCATGAACTGGTAGAAATCACAGCAAAAATAAAAGTTAACACAAAGCTTCCCCATACATCTCACAATCCAAGGTGCCCAGCCCCGCATCACAAGCTGAAAAAGGAAAATACTCTGTGTATTAACTCCTTTTTCCTTCTATGTCGTTTGTCTGAAAATTAAAGCAACCAGAGCTATGCATTTGTTTTTAACGGCTTAATTTTTCTGTCAGATGTGTGCTCTTTGCTTCAGGATGTCTGCACTATAAATATTTTGCAGCAGCTCTCTAGCTTTTAAGGTAATCACATAAAAGATCCTTGACTGCATAAAGGCAGCTAATCTGGGTAAATGCTTTTAAGCATCTTTACATTTCTTGTTAATGGATTTCCAGCCAACCCACGGAGATCCACGTTCTAGAAAATAATGTAAAATATAGTAAGTGTCTAATTTTTTTAACTGCCTCACATTTGTCACGTACTGAGAAAATCCAGAGCTCCAGGCAGCGCAGGATCGTTACGCTTATGTAAGTAATGCTCTGTTCTGTCACCATCAGAAGGAAACCCAGCCTTGCACCGGGGGCAAGGATCCCTTCAGTGTTAAATTCCAGCTCAACCGGAAACAAATTATCACCCGCTATTAATTAGAGCCAGACAGGAGGGATCCATGGGTGGCAGTCTGGTGTCAGGCTCTGAAGGGCAAGCCATGGCACCGACTGAGCTCAGGACTCGTGGGTGGAGAACGTTCCCTCTCACAGCCCCACGGAGCAGCAGGAGGGGGTGACACCGTGCCCGGTGGCTGGCAGAGGCCAGAGATGAGTGTGAGCCCCTTTGCCAAAGCAGGTGTCCCCTGGTGCCCTGCTCCCTCCCTGCCCCTCTGCCTGCTCCCCCCAGAGTGCTGCAGCCCCTCACCCCACCGGGCAGCACCCCGTCCCCTCCCTGCACCCAAACCCCACGGACCCAACACCATTATCCCCACAGTTAACACCATCGAGTCAATAGTCCCCGGGCAAAACTCTGGTGCTTCATCTCGCTGTCACTTTGCACCCACGTGCAACAGCTCGCCCTGTTCTGCTCCGTGTCTGGCTGTGGGGCACAGGGTGCCCACGCTGCCCTCACCCTGCACGCAGCCTGTCGGGCTGTCCCCATCCCCGGTGGCTTTGTCCCCCCCCCGGGTCTTTGGCCAAGGGGGTGAGAGCCACAGAAGCTGTGCAGGACAGACCTTCCTCAGGACCTTCATCCTCTGCCTGCCACCAGCCAGAAGCCCCCCCAAACCCAGGAACCCCCCTCCCATCACGTAACCATCAGGGCAGACACAGACGTGGCAGGGACACGGAGCGAGGGGTGTTCTCACAGAGGCAGGTGGCCTCACCTCTTCTGGCATGAAGGGGTCAGGGTCCAGCATCACCCCCAGGACCCCACCATCCCGGCTGCCCAGCCCAGGAGAGCCCCGGCGCTGCCGTCAGCTCCTCTCACACACACCCCGTCAGGGAAAAGCACCTATTTTAAGAGCTGTCTGATGTAATTATCTTTGCGGAGGAAGAAGCAACGGATGCACAAGGGCAGACGGGCCACCTAATTCTGCAGATTCATTACACGCATTAATTAGACTCCCCGTGCTGTTCCCGGGGGGCTTGGACCCACAGCCACGCAGCTCCATGTCGGTGGCACGTGGGGACAGGGTGGGTGGCAGAGTGGGCACCAGCACCGAGAGCACAAGGCAGCTGGGGGAAGGCCAGGCTGGCACCCTTGGGCTCTCCTTCAGCAGCATGGGGGGCAAACACAGCCCCTGCAGCTCCCAGGGGTCTGCCAGGGCTCCCCCAGCCCCTCCTGCCCCCCCACAACCCAAAGTGAGCTTGGCATGGGGGGGGGTCGGGCAGAAACCCACCTCCAGCAGGGAGAAGGGCCTCGTACAAGTGATTAGTATCAGACGAGACTCCAAAGGATTACAAAAAAACAAAGGGAATCAATTATCTGATAGCGGGTTCTCATCAGTCACACAATGGCATATAAATTACTGAGGTCCAAGAGCTGAGGGAGCCCAGGCTGTAACAAAGCCAACAAATCCCAACCCAGCCTTCAGTGACCCCAGAGCCTCCTGCAGGGACCACATGGGGCTGGAACACTCAGAGGAGAAATAATTAATTTTTGTTTTACCAGGAGAAAATGATGGTTTGCAGCTTCTCGGCTCCATCCCAGCTCGGGGAAGGTTCAGGCCATTTCTCTCCTTGGTGAATAAATTGGTGCTTCTGGCTCCGCTCTCAGAGGTGGCTCCAGCCCCAGCACTGGT